TATATATATATATCACCATCATCAACAACGGAGTACAGTTCTTTCCTCGTGGTTGATGAGCTTTTTGCCTGTCAAAAGAGGTCTGGAAAAAATCTATCCTGTGAGGCCCTCTTAGATTTTCATGTTTATCTCCTGTTTCTTGTTTAATATAACATTCGTCTTTTTTTTTGGGGTAAAATATAACATTCATCTTTAATGCATATAAAATAAATTGGAAACACACACATGTGTGTGTATATATATATATAGGTAAAGTTTCTTTTTCGATATTCTATATCGTTTGTGTTGGACTGTTTCACATCTAGACAAATTAAAATGATAATAATAATACACAAATGTTTAGATATTAAATATTAATTTACGTAATTATATAATCTGCGGTTGGTAAGTCTTTAATCCGTGAGGACGTTTAACCATGTGACAAAAATGAAATGATGTACTAATAGTAAAATTATCTCATGAGAAGCTTTAATTAAGTTGATCTAGATTCTTGATAAGATTAACCATTAATAATTTTATATTATATAATTTAGGACACAGCTCAGACATTAAAAACTTGCTAACATAAAGTATCACATGATAGTTGTTAGGACCAAGTAAACAATATATCAGAATATGATGGATCATATATATATATATATATATGTATATATATATATATATTCTAAAAGAATGAACTTTGATTAATTTTTATTATTATAGAAGTATTTTAAAATATAATATTGCCTTTGCCATGCCTCTGTACCGTATCATTCTTTATGAATGGAGTTTTATATCTTTAGTCCATGTGACTTCTTACATGGTTCTGAATTTGTTATAATGTTATATATTTTTATGCTAAATTTTATATCAGATATATATATATATAATCTCTAAACCAGTTGACGTGATGACCAGATTTCAATTTCTATTTAATACCGCTATAATCATTGGTTTTAAAATATATTAATTATTTTTTTTGAATTATTTATTTTATACAATATGGGTTCATATAATAACGACAAGAAAACCTCAAAGGCGATGGTGATTCACAGATAATATATATTTGGTAAAGATTCACAGAGATTTTAACTTTCCCTTATGTTAAATTATTTCCTCTAAATTAAATATTTTGTAGAAGATAGCGGTGACACAACCATCACATGTCGTCACGTGATGCACTCTGTTCACAGACACGCCCTTCAAAATAATAAGATAAACCATTTCGAATATATACAATTATTAATTTATATTTATCATGTTTAGAATAAAACAAATAGTTTTCCAGTCATGTGGGCAACGAAACCATCCCATTTGGCGGTCCATTGACCGAAATAAACTCTTATCCACAACACGTGAAAAATGTCGAAGATATCATAACATATAATTATAAAATTATTAATTTCAGCGACGTATTGCCCGATGACCACGTGGCATCCTCAACGCACGACCTAAACTGCAACGTTTTTTTGTAATATACTTCTCCAGGATCCGACCGTTCAAACATATTTCATCCTAGATAATATATCTGTAAATTCCAATCAAATTTATTTTTATAAGTAAATTTTTTTCTTTGACCTACATGCACAGACTGAGCGGAGAAATTTCTTGTAAACCATAATTATTCGTCCACATCTCAGACGCTTGTATATGCAATCGCAATCATTGGCAAACGTTGTGCTGGTCAAACCAACGCAAACGCAAAAACACAGACGCGAATGTACTACAACACGGCATTTGTTTTGCAGCCACATCAAAGCCTTAATTATAGCATCGCGAGTTTCAAGCTCTTAACAAGATCTTTCACCGTCATACAGAAATCTTTCTCCTTCTGCAAAAATAAAATAAAAAATAAAAAATCGATGTTATTTTGAATCTTCAATATAGGTTGAACACAAGAAAACGTGATGAGTTAATATACCTTTGCAAGGACAGTGATATCAAGAGTGAAGTCACCGAATGGTAACACTGTGCTGTTCATGACGCGTAAATGTAGCCTCTCGATCTCGTTCAATATGCGAACGATGCACCCTTTGTTCTTCTCGCAGTGTAGTCGAATCAGAACATCGTCTCTCGACATGTTGGCTTCGATTTCTGGCAATTCTTGATCGAGATTCTCGCCCAATGATGAGAAGGAGGAACCGCGGGTTTCGTCCTCCACCAAAATTCTCGACTTCTTCACAACGATCATTGTTTCCGTTTCTCTCGATGCTTCTTTTTCTTGCTCGAGGTCTCTTATTCGTTCTTGGAGCTCTTTTAGGTGCGTGATCGCGTTCCCGAGGACCGTCGCCTTGTCCGCCTGAAATATATATGTACAACATATGCTTCAACGGGCTTAAATATTTGATAAAAGAGAACGATGAAAGAATACAAATGCATATTAGCGAGATTAACGATTGAAATCAATATATATATATATATATACCTTCTTAAGACCTGGAATAAGAGCTGAAAGAGCAATGAATCTTTCGGAAAGCTTCTCCCGACGCTTTCGCTCGGCCAAGACGTGTTCTTTTGCGAGGACCGGTGATCTCGCACCGGGAGTGCATCCTTTTCGTTTGGTCCCTTGTCCTAATCTTGGTGAACGAATATCGATATTAGTGTTCTCCGTTGTCTGAGGTGAAAGATTAGAAAACTCGAAAGAGAACAACTCCGAAGGAAAATTATAAGGAAAACAAGGTTTGGTGGTCGAACTCGAGCAAGAATTCCGGCTACTGTTCTTCATCTGCTTCACGGATGATCGCTCACACAAGAACCCTTGTGTTTGATCGTTGTCGCAATGGTCATATGAAATCTGAGGTTTATGTGCGGTTTCTCGGTCGGAGGAAAGAATTTCCTCGTCCATAGAGAAGTCGAAATCGATGTCTTCGAATGTAAACTCCGGTAAGAAGAAATCATCCATTTGTGTCGAGCTTGATTATGGTTTGAGATTATGAATAATACTTTGGATTACTTGATGATTATGATAAATAAAATTTTATTTTATAGTAATAAGCAGTATGTTGTGATGAAGCTGTTTCAGGTGACTGTCCCCATATATTGAAAACGAGACGCGGTCCTTTGCAGATTTTCTTTGACTGCGTCATAACGAAAAAGAAACGTCACATAAATATTAAAATTTGTTTAAATGTTATGTTGTAATTATCCTTTGTTTTCTTCTTGTGGATTTTGACTAGAAAATTCGTTCTAGGGTTTCGACTACAAGGTTTCTGGCTGTGCATTCAGATTTCTTTGAAGTGGTACATAATATATTTCAAATATTTTTTTTTGGTATAATATTTCAAATATTTTGTTGATCTAGAAGATATGTTATTTCTCAATACACATACTACACATGTGCAATATATATATTCTAGTGATGATTATGATTTAACGTATCGTTGGATTAGATATGATCGTCAAATTAAAGTTCATATGCTGTACACACACACGCGCGCACACACACACACACATATATATATATATATATATATGCGTGGTCATATGCATATATAATATTCTAGATGTGTGAACCAGCTAATTAAATGCTCTTCCACTAATACGAGGAACCCGACGATAATCCTGCCCAGTGCCCGGATTCACGGATGCAACCCTAATATTTTCTTACCTTTTTGTTTTTCCAATTTATATAAAACATCCACATTCATCGGAAAAATCTAAAACTATTTATCATCGGTAGCATTATTAATACGATAAAAAAAGAGTTCATTAATTTAAATGTACTAATTAATACCGATTTAATTACTAATTTCCATTAATGTTATGTAATCTAATTCCAATAATTTAAAACAGTTCATTCCTCCAATAATTTGTTACTAACATGCCGTAAATGAGAAAAATATGTTCGTCTGTTCACAAATCGGTAACAAAATATACACATGCATACCGAGAAACCTAATGGGAGTACTCAACACCGAAGGAAATGATCGTATATTATAAACATTTTTTTTTTCTATACTATATTATTGATTTGGTGATATATTGAAAGCTTATAATTAACGTGAATTCCATTCTAATAAGGGTAAGTGAACTAAAATAACTTGGATTATTGGATATATGCCTATCACTTCCTGATACACGCACAGAGCCAAGAAGTCTCGCTCGTTTCTTTCGGTAATTTGTGGTTTGTGCGTGTGTCTTATGGTGCGTTTTGGACAATGAATGCATCAAACTCGAAACCAGGGGCACTTGCAGACTCACTAAGGTATTCTTGTGGTTAGAATTCAAGAGGATATCCGGCCAAAGGGTACTCAGAGTCCTTCAAAATCAACCTACAACTCGGACTAAAACAGAACACTCAAGAGCACTGGGTTTATGTGATAGATGGAAGGGAAGTTCCAGGCCAAAGAACACTCGGATGATTTCCAATTTTTGATGAAAGATAGGGGTATGAAAGAGGATTCAAATGAGCCAAATCAATATTGAATCCGCCACGGTTTGACCTTGCACAATGGTGACATACACAAGCATGCGTAGAAGGCGATACTCTCGGACACACCAAGAAGAAGTAAAATGCAACTCGATTTTTGTTTAATTCAGAGTCCGATCATTCTTCACATACAAAGACCTTTAAATATGCTAGAAATACAGAAGAAATCCAGGGAAATTCGCGCATAAGTCGGAGCTAACAAAACACTAAAAAAAGATAGTGGAAACAAAACACCATAAAGTACGGAATAAGTGAAAAGTTGGTGGAAGTGGAAGACCAATGTCTTGCAACGGTTAGAAGGCTTAAAAAGGTCTCCATGAGGTTGAAATGATGTAGAAAGTTTCCAAAATTCGTGCTTGATAAAGGCTGACTGAAATTTGGTACAAAGATGGCACCATACACTCTCCAATGGTTTGGTATCTTCTTGGACTTATGCATAATATTTTTGGGCTTTTTGGGCTTAGATCTTCAATCCATTTATTAAAAATATAATTATCAAATATCTCCTTGGTAGTCCATATGTTAACCCACGAAGTCTTTGGTGTTGGACAACCACCACAAAAAAATCATTGATTTCCAACGGATTTTCCAACGGATATGTTCGTTGGAAATTTTTCAACGGATTTTCAACGGTTTTCAACGGCGTTTCAACGATAATTTCCGTTAAAATTCCGTTGAAAATTTTTAACGGAATTTTCAACTTATTCAATTGAAAAATTGGGTTGAAAATTTCTAACGACATTTTCAATGGATGTCGGTTGAAAAAATCGGTTGGAAATTTCCAACGGAGTCGGTTGGAAATTTTTTTGGAAATGTTTTTTAAAACTTCCAACAGATGTCGGTTGAAAATTTTTAAAAAAAATTCCAACGGAATTCCAACGGATATCGATTAGAAATTTAGATTTTAATTGAAAAAACAATTGAATATATATACTAATACATATATATTTATATATATATATATTTAAATACATGTATTTTATATATATTTATACGTATACATATATATATATATAAATACATGTATATTTTGTGTATATATTTTTATATGCAAAAATATAATGTATATATACACATATATATATATATATATATATACGAAAAAGTATATATATATCGATATGTATATATTAACCATATATACACACATAATGTATATATACACACATATATATATACGAAAAAGTATATATATATCGATACATAGACCAAGATAAAGATAACTCGTTTCACACCATCTCTGTGATTGCGATGTCCGATAAAAATTGAAAAGCCCACGTTTCCAATTTAGTTAAACAATTCACGAATTGTTAGCCCGCTTCTCAAGAAAATTGCGTGATATATGTATATATATATATACACACCACATATGTATGTATACGTAAATTATATATAAAAAGGGGGAGGGTGATGACAGATAGCCGACGAAAAAACCGAAGCGAGATGTCATGTGGATTTTGACGTTAGGTCTAAAGCTTAAACATTATTGTGGTAAGAATATCATATAATAATAACGCCTTTGATCATTGATTTGATATAATATAAGAAAAAACTCCGTTTTCGATGGCGACTTGAATTTCGTGAATCACGTGAATGATATTAACTTCTCAAACATGCTTTTGTCATATTTACCGTTTCACTGTAGATACAGCACCCGAAAAGACATGGCATGCTTATGTTTCCTAAAGAATGTTACATGCGACATAAGATATATTTTCTTCCTTTTTTTGTTTAAATTAACGAACAGAAAAATAAATATCTAACACCAAGCACGAAATCCTAATGGCTAAGAATTGTGCATAAAACACAAAATTCAAAACAAACATAATTCTAATCCATTATATATTCAAAATTCGTTTAAGATCGTATTTCCGATTAGATCCACAAATAGATCATATGCGATGCACGCACACGTACGCGCTCGCTCGTGTGTGTGTGTGTGGTTACATGATTTTGTTAGGAAACCATTATATCTATCGAGGATTTTGGGTCCCTTTCTCTCTTGGACCGTGTGTATAATTTATGTCATGTTTTAGGACAACTCATCAACCGTTTTGGATACGACAAAGAAAAAAGTTGTGTTGTAAGGAAGAAGATCAGTTTGCTGCGGTGTGTACGGGATTTGCCGCCGATATAACTCGTTGACGGATTCTGAAATTTAATTAATTTGATTTCCTCAATATCTTCATTATTATCCTAAGTTTATCATATCTTATCGAGTTATTGTTTTCATTTTCACACCAAGTTTATTATTTTTCTTTCCTTCAACGAAACTCATCTCATCGACTAATTAAGACTCTCTCCCTTGTCGTCTTCCTACACGTCATGCTTATCCTATACACAACCTACATCAACATCACTGTCTTTACGACAATATAGAAACATCATATAATGTTTGTCTTGATATAAAATACATAATCAAATCAAAATATCCTATTGGCTTGGATCCATTTGCATGGTGTTGCTTTGGAAAATATTCACAAACGAAGTGCCAATATATTAACCCTTCATCAGAAAAAAAAAAGAAGAGCGATCACATCTTGGATAAATCTCGTTATTTATATATGTTTTCATCGAATTAATTTATGATAGTGTAAATATTTAGCTTTGATGAGCGAGATAATTAATATAAAAAATGATGACAGATGATGTGAAAAACCGATTAAACTTTGTCGGCTTAACAATGTGGATATGTTTCACTTCTCACCAACACGTACGGTTGGTCTCGATGAACCTGCATTTATCCTATATTAATTATTTATATATATAAACAAACCAGTTAATTTCCATAATCGATGTCTTTTAAACCTTGATTGGAAACACAAGGTGGTTTATTAATCGAAGTTTTTTTTTTTTGGTTGAAAATTCTGCATGTCCTTTTCAAAAAAATTAAATTGGAAAATCTTGTCATTCTCTAAAGCTTCTTCCGTGTTGAGTATTATTCTTCTGTATGTGACTTATGTAACTCTTTTGTCGTTGCATCTCCCTTTACGACAACAACATCGTCTTAAATTTTAACATATCCAAATCATTTCGGTTTTGCTTTATGTACATTCATTTCGGTTTTGCTTTATATTCTCTGATATTTGTAACATATCCAAATCATTTCTAATGATTCGTTTCCAAATAAGTGCAGACCTCTACTTTTTTCTCATTTTTCCGCTTCCAGTCTTAAATTCTATAATTTTTTAACCGAAATATCTAGCGGTCTACATTTTACATATACAAATTAAAAACGTCTACACGTGATTTTTTTTTTTTGGTTATAACTCATAGTTTCTCTCTAATACTCTCATTTCGAATTCGGTCTATTCGTCTATATCCGTATATGTATCGCAATGTCTTCGTCTCGACCATCCATATTTTGGACACATGTTGTGTTTGATCTCTCTTTGCTGTCTGAATTCCTGTCCCAAACATTTTTTGCTTTAACGAGAAGTTACAAACCTAAGAGGATCTAGTGGTTTGAATTCATGTGTATACATATATATATATATATATATATATAACCAAAATTTTAATTTTCTGGATCATATCTTTAAAGAGGATGTGCAAGCAGGTAAATACCATCTGCCAAAAAAACACACACTATGAGCCATAAGTAAAATTCAAAGTCCTATCACGCTGGTAGGGAAATTAACAAATTACATATACGTCAATTAAATATCCACATGAAATTAATAGTCGAGACATACGAACTTAACGAAGTTTCAGTTGGACAAAACATGTACAATCTGTGAACAATACAAGTAACAGAGAGGTCATGAAAAGAGCAAAGAAACCCTCCTTACACGTACATGGGATATCAACTAAACGTTTCATGGCGAAACCTTCGAGCAGTTCAATTATCTCCTTTCGCTCGAGTTGCCATATAAATCGACCAAATTAAGAGCGAAGCCGACAGATCACATAAACTTCGAGAAAGCCAACCTTAAGTTCTTCACAACATCCACCGTTGTCATGTCGAAATCACGCTCCTTCTGCAAGAACAGTTATACAATGAAAGTATATAACCATATCGATCCCAAGTCATCTCCAACACAACCTACAAATGATATATATTCGTACCCGAGCAATCACGGTAATGTCAAGAGTGGGTCCAAATGGCAAAATGTTGTTGTTGAGGATGCACAAATGAAGCTTTTCGATTTCGGAAAGGATCTTTGTCGCATGACCCTTTTGCTTCTCGCAAAGGATCTTAATCATGGCATCTTTACCCGAAACCCTGACTTCAATCTCTGGAAGAGCCGAGTTTGAGCTGTCGGATTTGTCGTCTTCTTCATCAAGAACGAGCCGAGACTTCTTGATGAGAGCCACGGATTCCATTGATCTTTCCTTCTTCTCTTCTTCAAACTCCTTCACTCTATCTTGGAGATGTTTTATATGCTTTATCGCATCACCAAGCACAGAAGCCTTGTCCATCTACATCCATATCATTGAGCATAGATTATAACCAACATATAGATAGATGTCGTGGCTTCAAGAATTAGAAAAAGAGAGGAAATTTGGATAGAAGTTCAAAAAATTTACCAAACGGACTAATTCAATTGATTTCCTCAAAAGCAGATGCTTTGAGAGTTCACTAATCTTCTTGAGTTTGTCCTTTTGAAGTATTGAGATGTGCCACGAATCTAAACCTATGATTAAATCCTATATATTATGCAAACAAGGATATATATATATATGTCCTATATAAATGTGTACCTTCTTCAAGCCGGGAACCATGGCAGATAGAGCTACGAATCTCTGAGTAAGCTTCTCCCTCCGTTTCCTCTCGGCCAGTACATGGTCTTGACCGTGTGGTTGGATACGAGTCGATTGATGAGCCCTTTTGGTGCCTCGTCGTCCATATCGGCTTTGATCTGTCTCAACTTCTAATTTTCTTATCTCTGCCTCCTTAGGGATAAAGATTGGGTAATTTGAAAGGTCATTTGTATCAAAGCCTCCATTTTCGAAAGAAAGAATTTGAGTTGAAGGTTGACGTTTTTGAGGAGGAGATGACAATATTTTTGGTTGTATGTGATGAGTCTTGAGAGCATTCGAGGGTTTCTCTTCAATCAACTCATAAGAAGAACCATCAAAATACTCGGCGATGTCAATGGACTGTGGAAGAGTAGTATCATCTCCAACCAAGGGATTCATGTGGTACAATTGGATGATGTTATATTCTTCCATTTCCTGTAACCATGAAATTCGCATATGTATGAATAACATATAGTAGTAACATATCATGGATCTATATGTATAAAAAAGATCATCAGGATGCACATGATCATACCAATTCAGAGAACCATTTGGTGGATGGTAAGTCCATCGTCGCTGCCATATAGAAATCAAATCTGAATCAGAAAGAAGATGGGAAAGAAAGACGAACATTAATTATAGTAAGCAAGAACATATAATCCGCATCTATCTGAACTTCTATCACATGTGTATGTTCAAAGTAGATTGAAGCTTACCTTCTTGGATGTGTGTGTGTAGAGAGAGAGAGAGAGAGAGAGAGAGAGAGAGAGATGGGGCTTCTTTGTGACTCAATAGGAGAATATATACAAGTATTGAAGAAGTTAATGTGCACGTGCGAAGGCCAGGCCACCAGATTCTATCCTTTCCACGGCTTAATCTTCTATATTTTCTTTGTAGGATTTTGTTACCAAAGGTTAATTAGATATTAATTAAAAAAATGAAAGATCTTAACCTATTAATTCTCGATGATTTTGATGCCAAATGTATAGCTCATACCATGAAACATGCATTTAGATGTAAATTACAGAATAAACTCAATTTCTCGTCATAAATGGTGGTAAAAAGTTGTTTCATATATATATATATATATGTGTGTGTGTGTGTGTGTGTGTGTTATCTATGTAAATTACAGAATAAACGCAATTCCTCGTGATGGGTTATCATTAACTGTGGTAAAAAGTTGTTTCATATATACTCATGAATGTGTTCTTCTTTGAAACCAACTTTTTCAGGAATTTATCTATTTTTTCCGGAGTAACATTATATGGAGATGTGGCCCATTTGATCTTGGAAATATCGCTTTGAATACGTGGGCTGTGAACTATGAAACCCTAACAATTTGTGCATAAAATGATTGAAATATACACTGTTTATTAATTGACGCAAAGATCATAATCCTAAATATCATTTATTGGTCTATTAAAGAAATTTATTGAAAGATTACCGAATCTACATAATCCTTTTAATAATACCATTTTCTTCCTTCCAAAGATAAGGCAACAAGAAGCTAATATATTGAAAAAATCTAACTATTACATATATATATATATATGCCGCAAGAATAAATTTCATGATAGATCGTGATCATTTTTTAATGTCGTTCTTTATCTCAAATAGAGAAAACATAATCATCCAACACAAATGGCAGGTCCAAATTAATAAATGTAATGTAAGTTAGAGATATATCATTTATTAGTTCTGCTTTGTTTTAATTATTTTTTTAAATGAATCTTCTGCTTTGCTGTTTAAAGTTAAGCAACGCACCAACCTAGATCTCCCCACGATTTTCTGTTCATTTTCTATGGTTTTTTGTTAGGACATTATTACTTCATCTTTTTTTTTATGAATAGATTCAAAAGATTATAATTTTTGTAATAATACATAATTGAGTATTATTTTTTTTTGGTAATGGTAAATTATTTTTTTTGTAATGGATAATTGAGTATTATTGAGCATAATGACTAGCTAATTATTTCAAAAATAACAAACGAAACTAACTCAAATGATTTATCTACTATATACATATATATTTATATATCTTTTACATTTAAATGATCTATGTCACTTTAAATATATATTACCAAGAGAAAAAAAAAAGTGTGTTAAAAGGATAGTTTTGGTGAGGCTCTTCAAGAGTAGCGCACATCGGTATTCTAATAAAGCAATCGTGGTTTCAGAGGTTAAACATGGGATTAATTACTAGATTAAGCCTGAAAACTTGTAATATAAAAATGAACCATTTTGAAAGTGACGAAACTTTGATTGGAAAATGGCATATCCGATAGACAAATTAAAGCACGTGGGCCATTGCGATAATCTATATTGTATTTGAGATTAGTGCCAGATAATAAACAACTAATCCCATCCCATTTCCTTCACTCCCCCCATTATTGAAGCATCTTTGCCCATGTAAACACGATTTAGAGTTTACCAATATGACTACGATATAATTAATTTTAAAAAATAATAATTCATTAAATACAAAGTCGTGGAACTCATAATAATGTGGTTTTATAGATCCGTATCGTTGGTTAAACGTGAGAGCAAAAAAATAAAAAAAATGGAAGAGAAAAGAATGATCGAGAAGAGTTTTTTTTTTTATAAAAAAAACCCTAAATGGCATCACAAAAATACAAACAGATAAAGACACAGGATGTCTTAGGGAAAAAAAAAGATAACGTTATTATATAGCTGGCAATATGTCATGCAAGAAACTTTCACTGGGAGAAACTTAAATATAAATTTAAAAAAAAAAACTCTAATGGGATTTGTTATGTGTAAATTTCTTCGTCGTAATGTGTTGGTTGGAGGATTTTGGACCAAGTTGTTCTATCATTGCCCGGATTTTCTGTAGATTTGCCATAAATTTGATTGTAATATTGCATCTTAATCAATACTAAGTTATTGTCCGATCGAAGTCTAGGAGAATCTCAAGAACCTCGAGAAGAAAGAAATCAGACATGCAATTATCTCTACATTAGGTAAAACTCAATTAACAATTAGAATATATATATATATATATATATATATAGAGAGAGAGAGAGAGAGAGAGGAGAGGATTTAATTTTTTTTTCATACTTGAACAATTAATCAACGAAAAGATAAAGCCTATGATTTGGAATATGTAATAAAGTTAGTCAAGAAATGGGAACGTATGGGCAAAACTTCTGAAATCAACACAGCTTCCATTTAAATCGTTATATGTTGGTCCAAAAATGGAACCTATATATATTAATTATTGGTCATAAAAGACACTTCATCTTAACAAAGGGCACTCGGTTTGGTTGACCTAACATTTTCACATTGAGCCCTGCGATAACGTATCCAATAAAATAGGAAAAACCCCACGTTTTCAATTCAATTAAATATATATGGATTGGCCCATTTCCCAAGGATTTGTGTAGTTGGTCAGTTTTGTCGTTTCCTTTGGAAATGTAAAATTAGGGTTCTTGAGAAGATTTGTCGTCTAGTGGATTTGTTTTGTATCATTCCGAATACTATTATAACTAATTGATCAGTAACTTGATGTCATATATATATATATATAAGTATATGTATTAAGAATCTGGAATTTGATGGAGATCCGAATTCCATGGAAAACGTGGTTGCCTTTCACAAATCAAAAGGACAACAGTAGGAAGATTTAATTTGGTCGAATTAGATTATAATCGATTTAAATCCAATTTGAGTTTATTGCAGCTATACGAGCACAGACATTATATTTACACACACTGGCTAACTGGAACAAGTTGCAGAATATTCTTCCTTTTTTTTTTGGGACATCGAAGCAGAATATTTTTCGGAATGTAATCTTCTTAATTAACAATTTCACATTAAATCCATTACAATGGTGCTACTGTAATATATAATCTAACCACAAGAACTAGAAGCAGAGATTTGTTTGCATTTACCGACAAGGCATATTAGGCTATTGCGTCCAAGAATCATGTCCTGATCAGTTCAAGAAACAAGGTGTGTGCCCTCTTCTTCACTGCAGATTCAGAAAAAAAAAAAGATCGAATTGCGTGTTGCAGTCAATGATCAAACCCAGCTTCCTGCAGAAACGTTTTTCTTTATTTTGTGTTCATTCATCGATCTTGTTACTTCAGCTGCTTCACCCCACAAACCAGCACTTGCGTATAGATTCGCTAGTACAATGTACGATGAAGCATCTCGAGTTTCAGTCAAGAGAATCTTGTCTGCAGTCTTCTTTGCAATCTCGATTTCACCGTAATCCCTGCAAGAACTCAAGAACGAACTCCACATGAAATGGTTTGGCTTCTGTGGCATTGTCTCCATCAACTCCTTTGCTTTCTCCAATTGTCCATTCCTAGCATAAAGATCGACGAGACAAGCATAGTGATCTTGATCAGGAACTATCCCGTAAACGTTTTTGAACATTCCGAAATATTCTAACCCTTTTTCCACGAGACCCGAATGGACACATGCCGATAATACGGCAGTGAAGGAAACATGGTCTGGCCTGAAGTCACATTCTTTCTTCCAAATCTTGAAAAGTTCTAATGCGTTGAGTCCCTTTCCATTCTGAGCATACCCCAAAATCATCGAAGTCCACATCACTGCATTCTTTTCTACTGTTTGATCAAAGGCACGACGGGCCTCTTCGACGCTGCCACACTTGGAATACATATCAACCAGGGCACTAACCACATAAATATTGAATTCAGAGCCCAATTTGATTAACAGAGCATGTATTTCTCTTCCTTGTTGCAGCAACGTTATACTCCCACATGCATGTAAGGCACTTGTTACAGCATGATAACTCGGAGACAGATTCCTCTCCCTCATTTCAGCAAATAATCTCAAACCCTTTTCATAACGAGCATTGAAACAATACCCGGATATCATAGGGTTGAAAAGAACCTCCTCTTTCTCTTCTGTATCATAAAACAAGACTTCAGCTTGACCCAATCTTCCACATTTCGAGTAAACATCAACCAAAGTACTGATCAAGAAACTGTTGGATTCAAAGCCACGCTTAACGATCTGGGCGTGGAGCATCGTAGCATTCACTAATGCCTCTTCTGGCCCTGTCTTCCCACTCATGACGCCGACGAAAGTTTGGCAATTGGGTTTAACAGAACTCACCAACATCCGTTTGAACATCAACAAAGCTCCTTTCCTGTCCCCGTTTCTGGACAGACCAGATATCATAGATGTCCATGACACTTGATCATGCTGTGTCAGTCCATCGAAGACCTCTCTCGCATCCAACATTGCACCACTCTTTGCATAAAAATCAACAAGCGCACTGCTCAGAAACAAGTTATGTTCAAGACCAATCTTTATTACATGAGAGTGAATTTGCCGACCCAATTGCCAGCTTTCAGATTTCGTGCAAGAATTAATAGCAGTGCAGATGGCGAACCTCGTGAGTTTCTCTCCTGAGGCATAGATTCGGCGAAAAGACTCGAGCTTTTCATCTCTGTGAGGAATTTCGCCGAACAGGCGGTGTGCAGATCTAGATAAACTCCGATGAAGACAGAGAAAAGCAAAGATCTCGCAAGTTCTCGGACCGTGAAACCCAACTGAAGGAAAGAACATGCGGCAAATCTCCCCAAGCACGATCTACGCTTCTTGGCTATCGGTTAAAACGAGGAAACGCCAGAACAAGAGAGAGAGAGAGAGAGAGTTGGGCGGTTCTCTTCAACGCACACTTCTCTCGCACACACCGTAAACGGCGCGCTTTTCGTCTCTCGCTTGAAACGAAGAAACCGAAACGGCGGTTCGGTTCGAAAGGATCGAACCGGAAAACCGGTTTTGCCGCCTCGACTGATTTTATTTTTCCCCGGGGCCTTTCATGCAATCATGCCACCAATGTTTAAACGTTGTCGGAGATATCATATCACATTGGTTAGGAAACCAAATGAAGAAACATTGGATATCAGAGATTTTTTTTGTCTGTAACGTATTCAATAGACTGTACACGACAAACGTACGGATACAGAAATACATAATGACACATACTATATATATAAATATATATCACACGACAAAAAAGAGGACAAAAAAAAAGGGGATATAAGCTACAAAGTAGTTGTTGATTGGGTTAGAGTTGTGCTTATATAGCCAGTCAGTCACTTGTCACAGGTTCACTTCCGGTCTCTTCCTCGTCGAACCTGTCCACACTGTTTATGAACATCCCTGGGCCAACCACACGACCATATCATCGTAAATCAAACTTCGTAAGATCAAATACCTTGATTTTTCGTCTATCCTTGAACTAATTCTCTACTAAACAATGTTAATAACTGCAAAGGGGACAGTGGCAGGTTACCTATAAACCAAATAGCAGCAGCCAGAAACAGAATAGACGTTAGAATCAACGCAGTTTTCCGCCAATTGTCTATATGGTCCTGCAAATACCGACGGGGTTCTCGGCTTTAGATAATGTCCCCTTCGTAAAATGTATTTTGGGTTTGACGATTGTAGAAGAAGTACCTGCAAAACCCCGACAAGGGGTGATGAAGGCACATCGCCGAATATGTGTATTGAGACGGTGGAGATAGCCATTGACAGTGGTCTTAGACTTGGTTTCACGCAATGCAGACACACGTAGTTAACTGGTGCCTGAATAATCAAATTTAAAAAAAACGGGAGTTTTATCTAAAAAAAAGCCTTAACGAGAAGTCGGGAATTGTATTAGAGATCTGTTACCTGCGTTGCAAATACAAAAAGCTCGCCTAAGGAGAAGAGCGGGATGAAACCATGCAAGCTCTTCATGGTGAATGCAGTGAAGCAAAATATGGATCCCAGAAAAGTCGCTCCGGATAAAAGCTGCAGTTTGATGAAGTGAATAACTAGACAGGTTTTCCACTAAAAGGATTTCTCTAAATGTTTCAGGGAAAGGAGATAGATGCCCGTTCGCGTAAATTTCAAGCAATATTCTTGGAAGAAGAACATCTTTTAGTACCTTAAAAGCATTGGGAATAGTAGCAGTGACGCGATCCAGAACAAGGCCTCCGGATAGTGTTCCCAATATCCCGCAAATGATTGTTATTGCACCAAAAACCATATCTGCACTTTTCTGTGAATATCCCCAACTGAATCAGGACAAAGTTTTCGACTTGCCTTCAAATCATGGCTCCATAGATAAAACTTGCTTTGATCTATGGAACACGAAGGAAAACATATCAGTAGAAAACTGAACGAAGCAAAGAGTTGAAATCACCACACCATTTTATAAATGTTATAACCAGCCTTTGGCCCCCAATACGAATATGCTCCGATAACGAAATTGTATGCCACATAACCTGTAAGGCAAGTGAAAGTTATCAGCATTAAAAAAGAACAGTGAAAAGACAAGAATCATGAAAGCAAAGGAAAATACCTAGGACATTAACAACAAAGACTTTTTCTTTCAACAGAACTTTCATATCTTTTGCAAATCGGGTAAAGGATTTCCAGATTGCCGACCTGTAAGAACAAACAAAAGAAGCAACAAATACTTATCCCTACAGACTACAAATAATAAAAAAGAGTTGAGATCTGTGACATGTAAGAAACAGAGGGCCCTCACTTGCAATCATCACTGGAGATCTGAACATGCTCGATCTCGATACCAACCGGAAAGTTATCCGCAGTTTTTGATGTCTCTAGACCTTCAAAATAAGTGTCAATGCTTTTCAAAATCGAGATCTCTGTCTTTTTTTTTTCCCCACGGTTTGTATGTCCGAAAATTTTATCTCAGCTCTTCAGTGTTGAACAAATCAAATAATTCTATGACGGTACAATGGTAGCTTTCTCTCGCAACGCAAAACCAAAAAGAAACCGTGTTTTTTAACATTATCACATATCACCGAGCTTCATCGTGACAGATAACAGAAACTGTAGTATAGGAGACAGAGAGAGAATACCTACAGATGGAGCAATTGATTCAACTGATCGTAATGACTTTTGCGAAGTACCAGCAGTAAAACCTGTGTTTCGAATAAAACTCATTGATCACAGGCAGCAGATCAATATTTCTAAAAGATCAATATCTCATGGATAAGGTAGTCAAGATATGTACCTTTTAACTGCAAAGGTTTCATCACAAAACCAAAAACCGCAAATGGAGCCATAAGAATAGCCTCTCCCCAAAACGCATACCGCCAGCTAAAATGGTTTCCAACCTAAACCAACGGGTAAAGTTACAGCAGGAGATTGATTGATTGTGGAAGCGAGAAAATGAAAACTTGTACACAACGTTGACCTAACATTTACGTACATATCCTCCATATACATAGCCCAAAGCAACACCGGTGGGTATACACATGTAGAACATAGCGAGCCAAGCAGTTTTCTGAAACCAATAAATCAGTTATACTTTAGAAATTGTGAAAAGATTCATCGGATGAAATAAGCACAAGCGAATCAAACCTGCTCTTGAGGAGCATTATCGTCTATGAAAGGGGCTGCAAGACTTATAAAAGAGGCTTCACCTACACCAACGAACCTACGAAAAATATAATATCACTCTGTAACTGAAATTTTTGGAACAAGAAAGCATAATCACCCATCATCTATGAACAAATTAAAATTAGCATATGATTAGCACTTACATACGGCATATAACGATAAACCAAAAGGAGAAGGAACTGCCGCAGCCAAGAGCAGCAAGAGTCCAAACAGTCGATCCAACTCCAATAAGTCTAAAAGGGTTGAAGCTGCACTAAAGAAATTTCATCCCATTTCTAAGTCTATGTACCCAAAAAAAAACATTTTCAGCTCACATGGCTGCTTTACAGATATCTCACCTCTTCGCGAGCGAAGCAAATATTGGGGATGCCACAAGAAGCCCGACCATAAACGCAGATGACAGTACGCCGTCTTGGAAATTATTCAAGTTAAAATGCCCCCTGAAAAGCATAGATATATCAGACCGCAGAAGGGTGAACGAAATACGAAAAATATAAGTTTAAAAGCTTACTGAATCCCTCTTGCAGGAATG